GATTCTAGATGATTGCTTAGGAAATCCTGCTTGGACAGTCAGCTTGCTGTTCTGTATGGGTGGATTCTATATGAGCGGGAAAGCTGGGCGGGCAAAATCAATCCAAGCGTGATTAAATTCATGGCGCGAGGTGGGGCGTTTGTAGCTCAAGTGGTTAGAGCGCTGGCTTCCGTTAAAAAGATTTCTTCACTATATAGGTTCAAATCCCGCCGAACGCCTCGAGTTTCCTCCCCATTGATTCAACTCAAGTAGTGAGTATGTTCACGCTTTTCGCGATAAACGACAACGATATTCCCCACGTTCCCGAGTAACCTGTTGATCTTTTGACGTTCTCGATCGCTTAAAACCTCTATTTAGCTCGCACAACCTGCAGCTCATGAATTCCTCTAACGCTTAAGGTTCCCACTAAAATTGATACTGATTCGTGTGGGGCCGACTTAAATCAAGTTTTGCAGTCAATAGTTATAAAATAATCGGAAACAAAACTCAAAATTTGCTTATAAAATAACTAAAAACCCAAGAGCTTTAAACGATCGTTATCAATTTGTCGCAGTATTGCTGGTATTTTTGCCACTATTGGAGCTTATGAACTAAATTTCCGTCGCAAAAACTTCTAAGCATCTTTAAGATGTTGTCACCACAAAGCAGTGCATTGATATCCTTGGCAAACATTGTAAAACTGACTGCCTCACGAAAATTACTTGACTTAATCGAGTTTCTTAATGTATGCAATTAAATCTTCCCTCTATTTTGTCAAAAACCCGAATTCTCTACCTTGTTTTCGATAAATTGTAAGGAAAAAAGTGTCTCTGGTTCAGGCGAAAACAATGCTAAGGGTTTCCAGATTCTAAGAAAATTTGGGAAATTTTGCTCTCACTCGATTTCATCCCTATACCAGTAGCGTCCTTTCTCTGCAGGCTATAAAACAGAAGTATGCGATTATTTTGAAAGGTCATCTAAACAGTCGTTAAATCTCCGATTTCAAAAAAACTGTGGCATCTGCCAAATCCAGAATTTAAAAAAGTGCTAAAGAGAAATTTCCCATTGGTATATAAGTCTGTCTGTGAAGGGCTTTAACTTTTGCGGGACTACTTTAAAGGAGGTATTCCCAACAGAAACAGCATAAACTCAACTGTATAAGGCTAGTCCTCGTAAATGTCAACAAGCCGGACGTTATACTCGGGCGGGGCGCGTTTAGCATACGCAAATGTTGACACCAAGCCTTCAATCGCGACTGTTGAAGAGGTATATTATAATTAATCTTAACAGCGTCTAGCGGATGTAAACTAGTCAGAGCTAAAAGGCAGCGCTTAGCTTCGGCGGGAAATGCTTGCACAAAAATATTTGGTCAAGACGGCCAGCCGAAAAACGTATGATAAATTTTGTTTGTTAGCTTATTTGTTAAATCAAAGCAAACTATCAGGATATGGTCCGTCGGACCAGAGAAACCATTTTGGGGTTCTATGGGTCCTTAGGATTTGAAGCATGTTGCAGGGCATCTGCAATAATAATACATTATAAACGGCTGCACAGATGAACGCCGCTTTCAGTAGGCAACAGCTATACTCTAAATGCGGGTTATAGGAA